TTCCACCCATGCTTAATGTGTCTGTAACCAGCAGTAAAGTTTGCACAGCTAAGTGTATCACCACTGAATAGCCACTCTTGTTAGAGAGCTGCAGGGTTTGAATATAGTTTATCAGGAGAACCAATCGTACCTTATAAAAGCATATTTTCCTTAGAAATATATTTTCCCAGATACTGTATTTGTAGGTGAATACCTACTGTATTCAACTCACATTCTGATATAATTATAGTTGATAGTATGATTTGAAGTGAACAATTTGATTTGTTAAAAGCAGTAAGTTAATATCCAGTTCAAAGTGTTACTTTTATGTTTAAGCAGTATTGACTGGAGAGAGAAAAGTTCAAGGAGAGAAAAAAAGCAATGAATTAAAGAGGAATAATAGATATTGAATTATACATCCAGTTTCTGCCAGAAAGGATGGGCTCTGGAACTCTAATCAGAACATTCAGAGAAATACTCAGGTGCAATATCTGCATTTTGATGTTATCCCTCCTTAAGGCATACTGGTTTTGTGGAATGAGTGTGAGTTGGAATCAGAGACACTTGAGTTCAAACGCTAGCTCTGCTTCTTATTTTCTGGGTTCATCCTTCAAAATTTACCCAATAACTTCAACTTTTAAAAAAATCTAATGTGTGTTATAAGGATTGGGAATTAGCCAAATGATAACTGGCAAATAACGCCAAATGTTAGTACTTTAAAATGAATTTTCTATTGCTGCTGTAACAAATGACCACAAATTCAGTAGCTTAAAATAACACATATATTATCTTTCAGTTCTGAAGGTCAGAAGTCTGAAATGGGTCTCACTGGGCTCAAATCAAGGCGTCAGCAGGGCTGTGTTTCCTTCTGGGGACTCTAAGGGAGAATCCATTTTCTTTCCTTTCTCAGCTTTGAGAAGCTGCCCACATTCCTTGGCTCATAGCTCCTTTCTCCATCTTCAGTGCTAGCAGAGTAGCACCTTCCAGCCACTCTCTGACTTTGACTTCCTCCTCTTCATTTTAAAAAGATCCTGATGATGACATTGGGTACACTATGATAATTGAGGATAATCTTTTTATTTTAAAATCAGCTGACTAGCAACCTTAATTCCATGTGCACTCCTTTACCAGGTAACATAGCATACTCACAGATTCTGGGATTATGATGTGGACATCTTTTTTTTCTGGGAGAGAGGGGACATTATTCTGCATATCACAGCATTTTTCTCCCTTAACACTCATGTATTTATTAATACATTTATTAAAGGAAAATGAATAATACATATTTTTATCCTCAAGAAACCTAATATTTAGGTGGAGAGCTTAAATATATGTAAAAGACATTAACCAACAGTACAAGGCAGCAAGCAACAAGCTCCAATATGAGCCATTCAAATTTGTGTCACAGGTCGGACCTTGTGGCTCATGCCTATAATCCCAGCACTTTGAGAGGCCAAGGTGGGAGGATTGCTTGAGCCTAGGAGTTCAAGACCAGCCTAGGCAACACAGTGAGACCTCGTCTCTACAAAAAAAATTTTAAAAATTAGCCAGGCATGGTGGCACACATCTGTAGGCCCCATTACTTGGGAGGCAGAGGCGGGAGGATCACTTGAGCCTAGGAGCTCGAGGCTACAGTGAGCTGTGATTGTGCCAGTGCACTCAAAAACAAACAAAAAGAAAACAAAAACCAACACATTTTCACTACAGGCTTTTAGAGAGCACTTAGGTGTATGAAGGAAAAAAGAAGTCATAGGAAATTTTGATTGTCTAAAAGCAGCAATGTAATGAGAATGCCCCCTTCCCTCTTCAAAAGGTAAATGTGATTTTAGGTTGAGTTAGGAACAAAGGAGCTGATAGCCTCCCTCCATTCTGCCTTGTTGAATCCCCACCAAACTTTGAAGGGCATAAAAAAAAATCTACAGTGTAGCCAGAGGAGGGCTACCAGCAGGAGAAAAAGTTTAGAATCAGAATATATGAGAAGTTTAGAGATATTCATGGCATGCTCTTCAAATTCTTTAATGACAGTTATATGAAAAGACAGCTAGCTTTGTCTTTGAAAACACTGGAGTTTGAAAAAACTGGGCCAGGTGCAGTGACTCACACCTCTAATCTCGGCACTTTGGAAGGCTGAGGCAAACGGATCACTTGAGGTCAAGAGTTCGAGACCAGCCTGACCAACATGGCAAAACTCCACCTCTACCAAAAATACAAATATTAGCCAGGTGTGGTGGCGTGTACCTGTAATCCCAGCTTCTTAGGAGGCTGAGGCACAAGAATTGCTTGAACCTAAGAGGCAGTGGTTGTAGTGAGCTTAGATCAGCCACTGCACTCTAGCCTGGGCAACAGAGTAAGACTTTCTCAAACGACAACAAAGAAAAAATGGCCAGGCATGGTGGCTCATGCCTATAATCCCAGCACTTTGGGAGGTCGAGGTAGGCGGATCACCTGAGGTCGGGAGTTCGAGACCAGCCTGACCAACATGGAGAAACCCCATCTCTACTAAAAATACAAAATTAGCCAGGCATGGTGGCGCACACCTGTGATCCCAGCTACTAGGCAGGAGAATCGCTTGAACCTGGGAGGCAGAGGTTGTGGTGAGCTGAGATCGCGCCACTATACTCCAACCTGAGCAACAAGTGCGAAACTCCATCTCAAAAAAAAAAAAAAAAAAAGAAAAGAAAGAAAAAAGAAAAAGTTAGAATAAGGGTGTGGAAGTTAGATTTAAACTCAGTATGATAATTTTAAAGTGGTTACAGTTTTCTGAAAATGGAATGAGCTACCCCTTGAGACAATGATTTTGCTGTTACTGAAGGTATTCAAATAGAATGTAGACAACAAATGACAAAGAATGTGCTCTCAAAGCACTTTGTTTGTGTCTTGAACTTTATACTTACATTATCTTCATTTGCAGGCCAGTCTCCCTGTATAGATGTGACCTCTTCCTAGGCTGAATCTATCATATATGTTTTTAACTTGGCTTAGGAGGTAGCTAACAAATGTTGGCTAGGTAAATGGGTGATGCATGGGTGAGGTTGAGAGTTGGACAGAATGACCGTCAGAGTCCCTTCAACTCTGGGACTTTCAGTTCTCTGAGCTAGGATCTGAGCTAGGTTTAGTTAATTTAATTGAGATCCAGAAAGGGGGTGGGACTGGTGGCGCATTCTAGGTGGGAACCACAGTGCAGCACAGCCCAGGAGGACAGCAAATCTGAGTCGAGGAGTTGTGTTGGGTGAAGAATGGGAGTTAGAGTTGGGGCAGAGTCTGGGTCTTGATTCTTGAAGGTCTTTAATTTCAAGGATGTTGGGCTTCCTCATTCTGCCGTTGGGACGCAGATTGACACTTGACTGAATTATGATCAAAGGAGAAAATTGCTCTGACAATGATATACATCATAGCTGATTGGCAATAACTGAAAGTGATTGCCTAAACGTGGGTGTAAGGAGTTAAAATGCAGAACTAGACAATGGCAGCAAGGATGTAAAGGAGGGAACAGATAGGAAGATATGTTACTAAAAAATCAGGACTTGTTGGCGAGGTAAATGAGAAAGGGTGAAAAGGGGAAGATATCAAAGAGGCCCAAAGCTTTGTGCATGGGTGGCCACGAGGATAGACAAAATTTATGTCAAACTTTCTTATTGAGATGGAAGTAATATGGACAAATATCCAAAATATCCAGGATTTTTCCCAAACTGTTTCCATTCAGTTCATGACTGAAGTGGGTTGTTTTGAATATGTATGAGGATAGAAAGTCAAGAGTATTGCCAAGCACGGTGGCTCACACCTGTAATCCCAGCACTTTGGGAGGCCGAGGCGGGCGGATCACGAGGGCAGGAAATCGAGACCATCCTGGCTAACACGGTGAAACCCCGTCTCTACTAAAAATACAAAAAATTAGCCGGATGTGGTGGTGGCAACCTGTAGTACCAGCTACTCGGGAGGCTGAGGCAGGACAGTGGCGTGAACCTGGGAGGCAGAGCTTGCAGTGAGCTGAGATCGCGCCATTGCACTCCAACCTGGGAGACAGAGTGAGACTCCATCTCAAAAAAAAAAAAAAAAAAAAAGTCAAGAGTATTAGCCTGTGAAGGGCACACATTTGTGAGCTGTTATACTGGTAAAACCTGACACTGAGTAGTAATAGTTATAGTAGCACCTTGTATGAGCCCATTATGAGCCTGCATGATATGAGACACTTTGTATGTATCATCCCATTTCATGCAGTTACCCATAAGTATGAAGGCATCAACTCGTACTCCACACAGTGTCTGCTTCAGGGCAGCGCCCAAGGAAAATTCCCACTCATGTTAGTATTAAGGATAATTATAAGTCTCAGAAGTGATTGGATTCTTTTAAAAATTCTTGGACCCTGAACTGAATAAAAGACTCTATCTCTCTGTGTTTAGAGGGGTAGGGGAGGAGGTGAAAGGAATTATTCAAAGTTTTAGAGCCAGAATTGTGACTCAGTTATGGAATGTGTGCAATATATTATTTTTTAACCCTCTTTCCTGTTTCTGTTCCATGTCCCCACCCTTGTTTTTCTGCCTACCTTCTCATTTAACTTATGCTATCTTTTATTTTATATATCCCTAACAGTAGTCACAAATTCATTCTGGAATAAAGGAGAGGAATATAAATGTATTTTTATTTATCATAGTCCTCGCTTTATAGATGAGGAACAGGCGCTTAATTTATCTAACTTGCCCAAGATTACAGCGGGTCTATTACCTATTGCTGGATAACAAATCACCACCGAAATCAGCTTGAAACAACAAACATTTGTGACCTCACTCTGTTTCTGAGGGTCAGGAATCTGGGAGCAGCTTCCCCGAGTGGTTCTAGCTCAGGGTCTCTTGAGTTTGCAGTCAAGCCATCAGCCAGGGCTGCAGAGTCACCTGAACGCTTGTCTGAGGCTGAAGAATATGCTTCCAGCTCACTCACATGGCTGAACATTTTCATTTCTTGCCACATGGGCCTTTCTGTAGGGCTGCTCACAACATGGCAGCTGGCTTTCCCCAGAGCGAGTAATCTGAGAGAGACAGACAACGAGAGACAGACCAAGACAGAAGCTACAACATCTTTTACAACAATCTTGGAAGTGAAATACAATTACTTTTGTACCCTGGTAAAATTTGAGAAAGCATTCCACAGGGGTATGAATTCCAGCAGAAATCACTGGAGGCCATCTTGGAGGCTGCCAATCACAGTGAGTACATGATGTAGCGGAACCTGCGTGATGCTGCTTTTGCAGAAGTGTTAGATTAGAAGAGCCATTTCCATTCCTTTCATCTTGAAAACTAGGGAAATAAGCACCAGCAAGTGGTGATGTTCTGGGTTTCTAGTTTTCTTTCTCTGACCCTGCTTACAATTGCCAGTGCTGCCACAATTTCATCCATATAGTTTTGTGTAGCCTCACATCTCCGCTTAATCACTACTAAAAGTAAGTCCAAGAACCTCAAGTCAACAGTAAACAACTGAATGTTTGGATACCACTAAGGAGTTAAAATAATAGCTAATGGACCAGGTACAGAGTGGTTCATGCCTGTAATTCCAGCAGGCATGAACCTGGGGGGCCGAGGTAAGAAGATGGCTTGAGTCCAGGAGTCTGAGACTGCAATGAGCTATGATCATACCACTGTACTGTAGCCTGGGTGACAGAGCAAGACTCTATCTCTTAATGAAAAAAAAAAAAAAAACAATAACACTATGTATGCTTATATTCTCTGAATTTGGTAGAGTATGAAACGATTGATTATAATTTTATTCCGTGTACTTTTTATGTTCATGGGAAATGTATGCATATAGAGGATACAAGTTTTTGGTGACTCCACCCTCCATGAGGGGAAATTGTCAATGTAATGAGAAAATCCATAAAGATGTTTTTATGGAGCATATTTTTTACTGCATTGCTGAACTGTAGCCAGATTTTGTCAGGGAAATAAGAACTTGTTGTTTTCCTAGTTTCAGGGAACTGCTGGCTCAGTGTTCGGTTTTCATTCCACGAATCCATGACTCACGAATCAATGACCTGGATAAATGTACACTGAGGATCTCAGTTGCAGTTGGCAATTACCCTCCCTTTTGATGGCACTTATTCTATTCTGCCTCTGGAAATTCCATTACCACTTGAAGTATGTATAAATGGATGTCACCCTGAAGGTTTAAACACAACCCCTATTACTTAGCCAAGACTGTTCTGAACAATGGTGTTTACTAATTAGCTCAATTTCAATTTCAATTTCAATTCTCAAGCCATTGCTATGTGCCTGTGGTATTTGAATGTTCTTATAACTTTCTTTACATCTTGGGGCTTCCCTTCAGGGCCTGTTGTGGTATGCCAGTTTGCAAATAAGGTGATCAGTTTTGTCTAGGGAGAGAAACTTCTCTTTACATTTGACTTAGTTCTATGCAAACTACTTGGATAAATATTCTTCGAATGTTTGTGTTCTAGGGTGTTTGCTGTGTTCTGCAAATGGAGAAAAGAGTAAGACATAGTCTTTATGCCTTTAAAAATTTGGCCAAGCGTGGCAGCTCACGCTTATAATTCCAGCACTTTGGGAGGCCGAGGTGGGCGAATCACTTGAGGACAGGAGTTCAAGACCAGCCTGGTCAACATGATGAAACCCTGTCTCTACTAAAAATACAAAACAATTAGCTGGGCATGGTGGTGGGCACCTATAATCCAGCTACTCAGGAGGCTGAGACAGGAGAATCGCTTGAACCCAGGAGACGGAGGTTTCAGTGAGCCGAGATCATGCCATTGCAATCCAGCCTGGGTAACAAGAGCGAAACTCTGTCTCAAGGAAAAAAAAGAAAAAGAAAAAAGCAAGCATTTTTTTTTTTATTTCTTGCAAATTAATTTCCCCTTAACCCAGATGTGGTGAAGCCACTGACAAGCAAATTGCAGGAACTCTTTGATATAGGAGCGTGTCTCTTCCAACTCCAGCTTAAATGTAATCGTTTATAACATGGCTCCTAACTTTTTGGATTTCAAGGACACGCCTCGGCCTCCCACAGTGCTGGGGTTACAGGTGTGAGCCACCACGCCTAGCCTGTGCTTGCTTTTTAGAACGGGTTTTCAATGCTTTTCTTGTATGTGTCTCGGGGAGTGAGGGGGAAGGTGAGTAGTGGGAAAGAGAACTTGTGTCCACAGTGGTAGAGAATGTGAACTGCAGTTGTGGAAAGCGGCTGTTGCCAACATGGAAACGGAACTGGTTTGGGAAGGATTTCCCCCCCATAAAATCTTATACAGTTTAGGTAAAATTAGGCCTGATGAATGTAAACCTTCTACTTATTTCTAGGTGTTAGGCTAAAAAATAAAAAGGACCTTTGTATATATGGGTCTTTTTTCCCTCTGATGTTTTGCAAGGGGAAGAGAGAAGGGATGAGCCATTGGATCCAGGTGTCTAAGCAAGTCAGCAGTAATATAATCTTTAACTTGGCCATGATGAAGGCTGACTGTGCCCAGTGTCCTTCATTCAATGCACCTGTAATAGCAGAGCTTTGCATGGATTCGCACATAAATGCCTCTCTGGAATTGAACTATATCCATACTTTTCTGGAATGTGTCATCTTTGAAGTGTGATTCAAGGAGAACCACAATGATGATAAAAGGACTAAATAATCAAAAAGATGCTTACGAAGAGTATAGGGATTCCTCTATCTGAACTCTGAGGCAGTAATCTAACAGGAGTTCATCTGTCCTGGGTTTCTCCCAATGTAAGCATTTTAAGAAATGATCAAAAAGATTTCCTTGAAAACTTGCCAGACAACAATAGTAAATAACAGGCTTCCGTCTCTACCGTACACTTGGACACACTCCTCATGCATGTGGTGAAGCGAGGGCTCTGAGGTCAGACCTGCTCCATCAAATACTTGCTCCACCCCTTGCTACTGTCAAGTCACAGCCTTGCTAAGCCTTAGTTTCCTGCTCTCTATAATGGGAATAATGGTTCTTATTTCACAGGCCTCTTGTAAACAGAAGTTTTATACATGCACTAGCACATGATACTACTTTTTATATTTTAAGTGGTATTATTGCTGTTTCTGCTGGAAGGAGTGCTTCTCTCCTGCCCTCTCTGTCCTCTCCTGTTCACTGGCTACCTACTATCTTTGAGTCTGGAGGATGCTGATTCGTATGCACTGGTTGGTTCTTTCAGGTTCCTTGAAACAAAGGCATCTACACATGAACAATAAATGTGCTAATCGTCAAAAGGCAGATAATTTATTTTGGTTAGCTGTCACATATTTAAGCAAATTAAAATTTGATATTGCACTACTTCTAGACAAAGTCATGCTGGGAAATAATATAAAGTTTTAGACAAATTACATATTCTATCAACAATGCTGAGGCTGCCCTCTCCTCATGACCTTTAGCAACTCAGCAATGAAAATACTGGAAGGAGGTGAGCTCACCAGTGAGGATGGGTGAGTCCTTCCTGGTTCCAGCTTTGCAAAGAAAAGAAGATACATGGCCTCTAGAAGAGCAATCCTAACCTGATCTGGCACACAGGGCTGTGCCTTGAAGCCTGTCTTGCCTGAAATGACTAGCTGAGCGGTTAGAGGTTGAGAGAGAGAAACTGAGAAGGGCTCCTTTATCCTCCTTTACACACTCCCCAGAAACAAATTTTGTAATTAAGTTAAACGGGAGTGGAGGAGACAGAAGGTTACATCTGCTGCTTAGAAAGTCTAGGGAAAGGTTGAGTTGACCTAACTTTGAAGAGCACTACTTTTAGTCACTAAGTCATCCAGCCAATAATTATTGGACACCCAATGTGTGGCAGACAGTGTTCTTGACACTGGAGATAAAACAGGACAAAGATCCTGTTCTCATGGAACTTGCAACCTAGTGGGGAAATGATACAAAAAGAATTCCACAGGAATCCCACAGCAGATGCAGCCCCACAGTGGCAAAGGAATGCTCTGAGGGTGGGCTTGGTGCGTTTTCCACTCTGAGCACTGTGTTTGAGACTCACTCAGAGACAGGTGTGCGTTTTTAATGTTGTTACACTGATTACCAAAGCAGTAACTTCCCCTTAAAGCAGAGAGTATTTTTGACCTCTCAAAAATGATTGACATGGCTTTGGAGATCTATTTTTGTTCTGCATTCTCAAGTTCACGTCCTTTGTGGTAGCCAGCAAGGAAAATATCACCCTGCTGCTAGTGTCATAGAATAAGCTCTATGTTATCCGTGATCCTTCGGCCTTGACATGCTGAGAAGCAAAACTTTGATTTACATAATGTCATTTTATGCTTTAAGCCTTGGGGTTACCTACCTAGCATTTTGTTATTTGATGTACTTACCTTTTTATATACATAACTTACCTTTAAAGATACACTTTACCTTTTATGCCTTAAGGAGGCATAAACTTAAGAAGTTTCCACACAAATTTTAATAGGGGTCAGAAAGCTTAGATGAGGCTAAAACCTGGATAATATTATACATGTACTGATAAAGGCATGAGAATGACCTTCAGATGTCTGTAGGCTGGTGGTTTATAAAAGAGGAAGGTTAGTTTTAACCTAACCCAACCTCTACCCCTTGTAAAACACACACATACACACACAGAGTAAAAGGACATGTTAGGGTTTGCATTTCAGCTATGGAGAGGTATCTAATATCAAGTCAGTATTGTTTTTAACTCTGGATGTACTCTATTAAATGAGTAAGAACAAGTCTTCTCTCAAATATCTCACACAGATTATTGATTAATTACAATGAGGAAAAAAATATCTTTATATTGGGACTATCTGACAGGTACCACCATAACCAGTGAATCTAACCATCAGTAATAAGGGTGATGATTGACTGACATCCTGTTCTTCCCAGTGAGATACAATCGCCTATGTAATCAGCATCACCTAGGTAAAATTCTTACCACAGAATATCTAATCCAAATCTAATTATGAGGAAACAAGCAGACAAATTCATATTGTGGGACATAATGTAGGGCAAATGTCTTGGACCCTTCAAAAATGTCAATATTGTGAAAGACAAAGAAAAAATAGATAAATAAACATAAGGTGGGAGAATGCTCCAAATTAAAAGAGACTAAAGAGACACGATGGCTGGGTGATTGGGTGGTGGGTGTAAAAATGAAGGAAAGGAAAGTAGAGGGGAAGAAATGGAAGAAAGGAAGAAATATCTACAAAGGACATTTAGGGGACAATTGAAGAAATGTGAATATGGTCATTTTATTAGGTAATGATTTTGAATTGGTGTTAACTTTTCTGAATCTGATTGTTATGAGAGTGTCTTTGTCCTTAGGAGATGCATGCTGAAATAGTTTAGATATGAAATGTCATGAGACCTGCAACTTTCAAGTGGTTCCAGAAAAAAGTAAATACACATGGGAGACAGTAAAAGAGAGGGAAACAGACATGGCACGATGTGAATCGGTGAATCAGGGTGAAAGGAGTGTTCGTTGACTTATTCTCTGAATTTATCTTAGGTTTTTAAATTTTTCCAAATAAAAAGTTGTATGTAGCAGGGGTCAGGAGACAAGAAAAGTCTATTTGAAGGAAACTACTATAGAAATCCAGAACAGGCCGGGCGCGGTGGCTCAAGCCTGTAATCCCAGCACTTTGGGAGGCCGAGACGGGCGGATCACGAGGTCAGGAGATCGAGACCATCCTGGCTAACACGGTGAAACCCCGTCTCTACTAAAAATACAAAAAACTAGCCGGGCGAGGTGGCGGGCGCCTGTAGTCCCAGCTACTCGGGAGGCTGAGGCCGGAGAATGGCGTGAACCCGGGAGGCGGAGCTTGCAGTGAGCTGAGATCCGGCCACTGCACTCCAACCTGGGCGGCAGAGCGAGACTCCGCCTCAAAAAAAAAAAAAAAAAAAAAAGAAATCCAGAACAAAAATAAGAGCTAGAGAAAACATACACAGACAACTGATGCATGAAGCCTCAGAGGAAGAAAGCCCTGGACAAAGGACAGAGCTCTGGAATGGGGATGGCAGGGCCTGCACTCGCCAGTCTTCTCTGTCATCACAGGCTGTGTGATCGTGGACATTTGCCTAAGCTCTCTTGTCTTCATTTCTTCAGGCTGCCATCACCAAAACAATAGGTATTTATTAGGCCGGGCTCAGTGGCTCACGCCTGTAATCCCAGCACTTTGGGAAGCTCAGGCGGGTGGATCACCTGAGGTCAGAGTTCGAGACCAGCCTGACCAACATGGAGCAACCCTGTCTCTACTAAAAATACAAAAATTAGCCAGGTGTGGTGGCGCATGCCTATAGTCCCAGCTACTTGGGAGACTGAGGCAGGGGAATCGCTTGAACCCGGGAGGCAGAGGTTGCAGTGAGCCGAGATGGTGCCACTGCACTCTAGCCTGGGCAACAAGAGCGAAACTTCATCTCCAGAAAAACAACAACAACAACAACAAAAACAATAGGTACTTACTGTCTCACAGTTCTGTTGGCCAAAAGCCCAACATGAAGGTGTCCGCTGGCCCTTCCCTCTCTGAAACCTGTAGCACAAGATCCTTCCTTGCCTCTTCCTAGCTGCTGGTAGTTTCCCCGCAATTCTTGGCACGCCCTGGCCTGCAACTGCAATATTTAGCCTCTTTATCTGTCATTACATGGAGTTCTCCCCTCATGTGTTTCTGTTCCAGTGTCTCTTCTCCTCTTTTAAGGACATCAGTCCTGTTAGTGCCCACCCTAATGACCTCGTCTTAACCTCGATTACCTCTGCAAAGACACTATTTCCAAAGAAAGTCACATTCATGGGTACTCGGTGTTAGGACTTTAACATATCCTTTTGGAGGGCACAATTCAACCCAGTCCACTCTACACCAATTTCTCCAACTCCCGAACTGGCATGGGGAATCCGTGGTGAACAAAAATGAACACTGAGGTCCCTTGAGCTGTGAGTCTGAGGTTCTGGGTATCCATCTGTTCTAAGTCCGTACATCTGCCAACCTTGGGCTACTAAGGAGCCCAAGAGAGACTTGATGAGGAGGAGGTTCCAGGTTATTATAGAACAGATAAGCAATGTGGCCTTTGGAAAGCATGATTCATGTGAAGTTCTTGGCATAGCAGGCTGTTCTAGTTTGCTTGTCGCAGTCATCCTTTTTGTCCTCATTTTTATTTGTCTGAATGATTGCTGGTGAAAATGTTTTCTAAGCTGAATTGCCATCCTGTTATCCCATCAAATTACATAAAATGGGATGTTAGTGTTTTAAAAAAATAATTGTTACATCACAGATGATTTCAAATGTTGGACAGGCTGCCAGCTGGAGCAGATTAACAAGGAAAATCGAGACTCCTCTGTTTTTCTTTGTCCTTCAGGCTAAAAAAAGGCAAGATAAGAAGAGAGGACATTCTGTAATGAATAAGGGTGGCTGCACCTTCAAACTATCCTGGGCCCCTCCTGCTGGGTCAACTCTCAGTATCTGGAGGAGGACACCCTTTGAGGTCCTCGGGGGACTTGCAAGCAGAGCAGGGGGTACAGGGAGAGCATAAATGGAGATGAGACTCTGTTCACACTCTTTCCTGATAGCCCTGTGTTTTCAAAGAGAAAACTATGTCAAAACCAGGGAAGGGGAGGGGGGAGGTGAAAAAGGACATTTTCCAAGAGCTCCAGGCCTACAGTCCTTAATGCGACACTACCTGTTGTTTACAAAGATGCATCTGCCTCCGTCCTGCATGTCCCTCCATGGACACCAGGTATGTAAACCAGGACAGGGTGGTGTCTTATCTGAGAAACCTCTCACTTGGGAGCAGGAAGCAAAAACCTCAGCAAAATGAAATCTTATCCCAAATTAAATACAGCACTGTTTTTCTTGACTTTCAGAAATTATTTAGACAAACAATTTGTAGTTTAATTATAATGTTATTATGAAAACCTGTTCCATCACTTGCTGCCAACACTAGGTAAAAATACTGGGGATTCACAAAGTGTCATTATTATTCTAGTCTTTCTTTGCCATTCCTTAAGCAGTGAGAGTTATGGATACGTCAGCATTTCCATTATTACCGCTCATTTTCAAGGCCTCTGTCTTAGTCCTTGAAAATTGCATCATACTGGATAGAAGCCTAAAGGTAATTTCCTTTAATGTTATGGCAGCCGCTTTTTTTTATGGTTGTGTGTGACTTTGCAAGTGATCTCAATATCTTTTTATTTAAAAAATTAATTCATACATAAGTCTCAACTCTTTTTTATGTGTATAGCTCTTATTCAAGATTAGGATATGAATCATGCAAAGTTAAAGTTTACAAACAGTGCACATTTAAGAGAGGTTGTGTACTTGGAGTACTTGGTGGCAACAGAACAAGGCATGGCCAAGAAGTAATAAGATCCCTGTGTAGATAATCAGTCACATATCTGTGGGATTTTAAATGTAAAAGAGAGGAGAAGAGAAGTTCTTAAATTAAATTACATGCATTATACTTATTGCAGACATTGGGATTTTCTCACCAAATCATATAATTTTAGAATCTGAAGAGGACCTTAGGTCTTATCAATCAATTATGGATGCTTATTCCATCAATTCCACATTCCCTCTTCTGCCCACCCAACAGTGTATCATTTATCTGTTTCTGCCTTACAAATCAATCCAGAATGTAGTGGTTTAAAACAACAGTTACTGAGCAGCTCATGATTCCAGGTGTTGGCAATATGAACTGAGCTTAGCTAGGTGGTTCTTCTGTTGGCACCACCTGGGCTCACGCATGTGGCTGCAGTCAGCTGGCAGGTCAACCAGAAGCTGATTGATCAGATATGGCCCCACTCACACATCTGGTGGTTGGCTATGGTGCAAAGGCAACTGGGCCTGTGTCTGCAGCATCTAGCAGGTACCTCAGGCTACTGGCTACTGTCTTCCAAAAGAAGAAAAGAAGGCAGCTCCCATTGTAGAACTGTTTCCAAGACTCTGTGTCACATATGCCAATGTGTCATTGGCCAGAGCAAATCACATGGCCAAGCTCATAAGCAAGGAGGTGAAGATATAAGACTCTCTCTCAGTGGAATGCAGTAATGAAGTCTGCATCCATTTATTTTTATTCAGAAACTAGTGTCCCATCCTGATAGCTTCAGCTGGGATCTCCTTATTATTCAGTCTTGCCTCAAAAGAAACAGAAGGGGAAACACTTATGGGTGGCCTACTTACATGAAGGACCAAAAAGCCTTAGTTCTTGGACTATCTTGCAACTCTCTTCTCTTTCCTTAGAATGAACTCAGAATTCATCCTGAGGAAAGAGAAGAGAGTTGCAAGATAGTCCAAGAAAACTGAGTCAGTGATAAGGGGTGGCTCTGTCAGTACAGCCCTAGTCTGTCCCACAGGTGGCCCCAGGCTTGACCCCATGAACTGTACCCAAGCCTTGAAGAGAAGAGGCTGCAATTGAAAATGCAAAACAGGAGGCCGGGTACAATGGCTCACACCTATAATCCCAGCACTTTGGGAGGCCGAGGCAGGCGGTCACAAGGTCAGGAGTTCGTCTGGCCAACATAGTGAGATCCCGTCTCTACTAAAGATACAAAAAAATTAGCCAGGCGTGGTGGTGGGCACCTGTAGTCCCAGCTACTCTGGAGGCTGAGACAGGAGAATGGCGTGAACCCAGGAGGCGGAGCTTGCAGTGAGCCGAGATCGCGCCACTGCACTCCAGCCTGGGTGACAGAGCAAGACTCCATCTCAAAAAAAAAAAAAAGAAAAATACAAAAAAGTTAGCCAGGTGTGGTGGTACGCGCCTGTGGTCGCAGCTACTCAGGAGGCTGAGGCAGGAGAATCCTTGAACCCGGGAGGCGTAGGTTGCAGTGAGCTGAGACCACACCATTGTACTCCAGCCTGGGTGACAGAGAATCCGTCTTAAAATATATATATATATACACACACACACACACACACACGTGTATGTGTATATAAATGTGTGTGTGTGTGTGTGTGTGTATATATATGTATATGCAAAACAGGGTTTCAGTGAAGTTTCTAGGGAAAACCTGGGGATTTAGAGGACAAAGGGAACATTCCTCATTCAGGTCTTAGAATTCAGAAGGGGCGAAGCAGCTGAGCAGAGGCATGGGCTGAACCAAGCCTAGTTCTGGACCAGAGATGGCATGGGAGAGGAAATCAGCTCCAGGCAGGCATCCAGACCTTTGGCACAGGCCTTGGGGGCATGCCCAGGAGAAACTCACAGCCTCAGCAGGTCAAGGAGCGAGAGAGGATTCATCCTCAGGCGTGCACAAGACATTGTCTAATGCCTCCCAGAATGAAGTGGAGGAAATTGAGGAACTTCAGTTCTGTAGAGCAAGCAAGGCTGGGGCCAGAGAGGTGTTTTTTGATGACCATGATCTTGACTCTGTTTCTAGGTTCTGGCTGTTATCCCTTGAAGAACAGGGATTAGAGTTGTTCCCTATAGATAAATGGTACTTTTTTAAGGTTTGAGCCAGGTCTCAAACTCCTGACTCTAGGCAAAACTGTATATTGTAGTTTGGCTTTGATATGTCTTAGCCTCCCACATAGATTCTGTCTCTCTCTTTCTTGTCCGTATCTCCTGTATATTTTATTTACTGTCACAAAAGACTCTGCTTTCCTTTATTTGACAAGTAAGTCCCCCCAGGTTTAAATTACTTCCCTGACA